AAGATAATCCTTTAAAATTCACTTTCTTATGTGTCTTTCCACTTCACCTTTTCACACATAACATAAAACAATGAATTCAACCACATTCAGGGAGTCAGAACAACACATTTAAGAGTTTCTGAGAACAACATACTGAACACCCTGTAATGGGCCCCAGTGCAGTAAACTCTACCCATCTGGTGATCCACTGTGGGTCAATGCAAACACAGAGTGTGACAACCTAATGCACAGGACAGGAGGGATGTAGGAGACAAACACATTAGATAAAATGAGGCGGAGGGTCTGAAAGCTTCTTGAGATGCGTCAGACACACACACAGGTGTCCCTTCACAAAACAACATCAGTGCTCGCTGACGCACCGTCGGAGCCCTCTGAGGTTCACATGGAGTTGATGGAGGGAATCACTTTAGAGGATTAACAATGTCATCAGTTTGGATTACAGAGGGAGCTTACCTTGCCCATCTGTCACCTTCGGGGCCTGAGGTACAAACGCTGCCTTTACGTGTCAGAGTTTCCTCCCTCTCACTCACACTGTGGTTATTTATTTATGTCAGATTAAAAACATGACAGTGTAGCCCTGAACAGGAGCAATGTGTCAGTGTCTGGGTTGTGCTGCTGATACAAAGCCCTCATGGACTGATTGTAAACACAACTACAGGCCGAACATCTGGGATGAGGAAATCATAAATAATATTAAAATAAAATAACCTTGTGCTCATTTCTTATGTAAGCTAAGACAATTATGATATCCAGTGTCAGACTGATCAATAACTTTCTGATTAAGTACAAGTTATAAAAGGTGTAACTAATATCTTAGTGGTTAATGAACTTTATTTATAACTTTATAGGAAGTAAAAGGTCAAACTTTCTTTGTTGTAAATAAAGGAGCCAGACAAAGAGCACATACAGCGATCGAATGAGGCAACCTGGCAACTATAAAATGTCCTTGTTAATAGCTTATTACTGCTAAGCTATGTAAGCCATTTATAACAACTTTTAAATCCTTTACAAAGTGTGCAAAGAATCGCACACATAAAAACAGTAAAACAGCATCAGTTCACAGAGATTTACACCTTTCAAACTCTGAAATGAAACGTTTTTAATATCAGGTGACTCCATTTTTAACAGGAATCGTATAGGATTATATTTTTAAAGTAACTGTCTCATCCCTGCATACATTCTCTCATAGTAACACCTCAACTACAGGTGTTCATACATATTCATATATAGTGTTCAAATAATCTTTCTAACTAAACTGAGATCTTAGACGTTATGTTTGATTTCAGTTTAATAGTTCAAAATGTTTTGACTTTGGCCGATACTGAGCAAAGCATACTCACTTTAGAACTGGATATTCTGAGATTTATTAAATGTTATTAAGGAATGATTAGTATTCTTATAAGGCTCATACAGAGCAAAGTGTAATGTTACAACCTCCTCACTATATAAGCAATAATTAGGAGGTTATTGAGAGAAAAACTCTTACTTAATGGCCTAGTAGTTGTAGAATATGTCATGCAGAATAAGGCTTTAATATATGATTTATAATGACTAATAAACAGTCTGTATGCTATTTATATGTATGCTAGCACCTTAATATTAAATTTAGAACACAAAAGATAAATTGAAACGAAATAATGCTGCTTTCTGTTGACACTGTTGCATGTTGGGTGTTTTGTGCTCTGACTAAACAGAGGTCATAGTTCACCCTGCATTTTATCTGGCGGTGTAAGACTGAGGAGGAGGATGGATGGAAGGATGGATGGAGGATGGATGGAGGAGGATGTGATGGGGATTTTAAGGTTACTGTGAATATGTGCAGAAGGAAAAGAGTTTAAAGCAGCTTTACACCCACACGCAGAATAAACCAACAAAACCTTGATATCCACCTACACAACGACTGCACATTCAATCTGGACTCTTTACCTCGGCTGCTTCCCTGCAATTAGCAAATCCATCGTGTAATTCATGCATGACTGCTCTAAGGGGGGGGGGCGCCTGTGAGGAGTCATTATCTGTGGGGAAGTTAATTTACACGGGCTGACCTCTTGCAGATGTTATACCACTCGCCACTTAAAGTAAGCTGTGGCTGAGCCCACACTGCACTAACCTCGTCCTCACAACATCCTTTTATTTATCTATCTATCTCTCCCGCTCTCTCTCCCATGTCGCTGCTCAACCCACCGTGTCCTCTTTATCTGCCTCTTCATCGCTCTCTAGCTCCCTTTCAGCTGATGGAGCTTATTGTGGACAAATAGGCTTAGGGAGCATCACTATGGCAACAGCGAATCGTAAAAAGCAACATAAGCACTTCATCAGGGGCCGTGATCCATTGGCTCCCGTTGGAGATGGGTGCCCTCAACCTCCTGCAACAAGTAAGGGCAGGCCAGAGAGGCTCCTGGGAGGGAGGAGGAGGTGAGAGGTGGAGATAATATTGTGGGACTGAGAGCAGAGAGAGGGAGAGAGGGAGAGAGGAGGAGGATTCATTTCTCTTCTCTCTCTGCTTTTCATTCAGCCAGTCTCCTCTCTTCAGCATCCGTCTCTGGTTTTCTGAGGGACCTTCCTGCTTTTTCAGGGATTTCTGCTTCTCGTGGAGTCTAAGATAAAACTTAAAACAAGAAGAGGTAAGAAAATGTTTCTTTTTGTTTTTTTATTAGCTGTTTATTCTTAATCCAGGCGTAAACAGCAACAAATGATTGTGACCGGTGATGTCTCAACCTCATATATAAATACTGTCAGTGGTCTCAACATCCTCAGAGGATGTGTTTGGAATAAAAGTACCCACCAGTCATAGTGTGAACAATGTTGATTGTTACTGAACAGCAGAGATATTGTTGGGGAAATGAAAGAAAGAAAAGAAAGAAAGAAAGAAAGAAAGAAAGTTGAATCCAGACGGTATTTTATTTGTTGTCATCAAAAGTCAGTTTTAAATGTCCCAAAACCTGGCGAACACGAGAGAGGAAAGAGATTCACCTCTTCTCTTATTTAGAGCATCAACAGTGACTCGATGGACAGAAAATTTATCAGCAACTATTTTTATAATCAAAAGCAAAAATGCCCAAAATCTAAAAAACAGGTTCTTAAATGTGAGAATTTGCTACTTTCTTGGTCGTTATTTATAGAAATTTTTATATTTTCAGGTTTTGGACTGATCAGACAAAAAAAAAACACTTGAGGACATTATCTTCTGATATTTTATAGATTTAAAAAATAATCTGGAAAATCATTCCCTGCTTAATCAGTAATGAAAATCATGATCAGTTGCAACCCTCCTCCTGTTTATTGATTATTCTGCCTGTTTGCAGGGTTCATACAGCTTTTCTAAGAGCAACATTTTTATTTCTTCTGTAAAAAATATTCACTAAAACAATATTTGAATACATGTAATAAAGTCAGTGGTAACATACAGAGCTATTGTAACTATCTGAAAGACTGTCTTGTCTTGATGTGTTTGACTCCATTTTGAAGGGTTAGTCTAGAGGAAAGAGCAGAGCTGCCACTAATCTCACTCAGTCGCTTTGTTCCTCTGCACACTTTGATAATCTGACTTAAAGCACCAAAAAGAGCCTCACTACAGTCATATAAAGCATGTGCAGCAGCTGTGGTTTGGAGAACAACTTGAGCACCTAAACAGATTAAAATAAGAGAGTTATATAAAACTAAATAAGAAAAGTGTTACAGAATGAAGAGATTACCTATAAATTGTACAGATACATGAAAATATGTGAACAGTTGCTTAGAAATACACAGTCTGAGCTTTTATAAAACTGTATCTCAGGCACTTTGGAGAAGATCACACCTATAGGGCTGCAGGTAACAATTCAGTTAAATATCAATGAACTTCCCTATTATTATATTAATACAATTTCTTCAAATGTCTTCTTTTGTCTTTTATTTTCATTATCTATTGATCCGGGGATTGTTTATTTTTATTTTTATAAACTGATCAATCAATAGTGAAAACATGCTGATTGCAACCTCCCAGAGAACACAGTCACATATTAACATGTCTTGTTTTGTTCAACAAGCAGTCCAAAACCCGAAGATATTTAGTTTACAATCATTTATGACCAAGAAAAGCAGCAAATCCTCATGTTTCAGAGGCTGAAACTAGACAATGTTTGCTTTGTTTTTTTCATTGTTTTTTTGCTAATCCAGTTATAGTTTCACAAAAGAGAAAGAAAAGCAGGAAATCTTCCCATTTAAGAAGCTGGAACTAGAGAACATTCAGCATTTATATATATATATATCTGAAAAATGAAATTTTTGAATATTTATGCCGAAACACCTCACGGTGAAAACCTTTTACTTTTAATTAATGACTCAGAATACCTTCATCAGTGGTCTTTTTTGTGTGCTTTCATCACAAAAAAGCAACACAAAACAAAAGACAATTTAATTTAATTGAATACAGCGTCTGTGGGAGCGGAAACCTGTCGAACAAAGAGCCGGTGGGTGGGAGAGGCGCTCTCTTTTAGGAATATGTCCAGATGTGTATACAGCATGCAAGTGGAACAGAGTTCAGAGGATCTGGTGTTATAAATTATGCCTATTTGTGCAAACAAGTACATGTTTTAAATAGAATTACAGTATGAAAACAACAAAAGGATATAAGGTCTTCTCCACAGCTGCTGCACTGTCAGACAGCCTTGAAAATCACTTACACCAACAAAAATCAATTAAATGTTCAATGTGACAGCTGCTGCAACTCTGTATTGTTTGTTTTGTTTTATTGGGCTCACATTTCAAGCTCTGCAAAGTACAGAGATTTCAATTACTGTATGACCTTTCCAAAATGTCTCATTGGCAACTCATTACTTTTAACAAAAGCAAATCTCTCTGCAGTTTGCGTCCTCCCTTTAGTCTCTAGTCACACACAGAAACACACTTTCAAATCAATGATCAATCTGTGCAAACATGTCTAATTAGGTCACATCTACTCATCAATCAGTGTGATGACTACATGTGATTATCTCTCCCTCTTCAGGGGGGCTGTGAAGAAGAACAAGGCCATGGCCTCCTGGTTCAACTGGAATGAGCCGTATCACCGCAGCCCCCGGCGTGACCCGTCCGACGTGGTCACCGACACCCTGATGCTGGAGTTCAACTGGCAGCTGAAGGAGGCAGAGAGGCAGCAGAGAGAGAGGGAGAACGAGTACCGGCGCCTCAAGACCGGGGTGGACTACAGCTGGCTGGCCAGCACACCTCGCTCCTCCTTCAGCATCAGCACCGGGGAGAAGCTGGGCCTAGAGGACCTCTGCTCCAAGGTGCCGCCTCCCTGCTGCGGCCTCGTCATACTCAAGTGAGGACACACACAAATATTACATAAAGTCAGGAAGTTGGGTACATTTATTCAAATAGAGCTTGAAGGTGTTTGTATTTTACTTGAGTGTGTTATTTCTGCTCCACTACAGAGTGAAATACCTACTTTTTACTTTACTACATCTATTTTGGATTTCACAATTCACATGAACAAGACTTAAAAAACTACATGCTAAGGGTAGCCACTCTGTGAAGCTGTACTAGTTAGCTTATCTAATTCAATAGTGGTAGAAGCCATAGTGGTGCTTTGAGCTAAATTCTAACATTAGCAGGCTAACATGGATGTATATTTCACAAAAAAAGCAAAGATTTGTCAAACAAAAACCCAAATTTGTTTCAGTACTTTATTTTTCTTTCCTACCTCATTAATCTTCCCACAACCTCCCAGATCTATGTTGTGACCCTTCGAAGGGGCCTGAGCCCTATGTTGAGAACCACTGCTCAAAAATAGTAACTGTATATAAAGTAGTTAAACTATATAATAATATATCACTCACAAAGTAAATATTAAAAACAACTAAATAATATAAGTCCCTTTTTGGATCTGACTGACAGTGACAGCAGCCATGAATACTGGAAAACTCATTTGGATGTAAAATCACATACAGAAAAATGTATATTCAAACTCAGTCACTGATTAAATATTAGTGGACAAACTGAAATCTGAAAGCTCTGATTTCCAATTTGCTGCCTTCACTGTCCAAAATAATTGCTGGAGCCAATTAGCCAGTTCCAGTAAGTTTTTCCTGAGTGTGCAGTCTTCAAAGAAACTCATTCAACCTCCTACAGGGAGAATAAAATGGCAGGAAGGAGGCCAGGAAAAGGCTCACAAGTGTTAAAAATAGCCCTTTTGCTTCCACGAGCTGTTTTTACAGCAACCCCCTTTTTTCACAGGCAAACTGCAATCAGGCGAAATCACGACCGAAAACCTGGGTCACAGATGAAGTATTCACACCTCAACCCCCACAGCTGAGCACTCATGTCCAGCCTGTACCCCCACTCATGGTTCTCCTACACACACACATAAATAGCTTTTATCTTATGACAGACGTAAAATACTGACTAGTTTTATGAGAGGTCAGCTCATGTATTAAGTGGCAAAAAATAATGTTTTTCATGTTTTTTTTAAATCAGCCCGTCCAGCAAAGGATAAACACCCTGTGTTATAAACAGTGACATGTTAGACTACTACATATTTAGATACTTAAAAATGGGCCAGTAGTGTTTGCTCATTGTCAGTGAACTTCTGCTGCTTGTCTTCAGGGAGTAAAGATCAATATTAAGTTTATCCACAGAAGAGGAGCAGATTTTGCAATCAATACTGGCCACATATACATAATTATGCATTTTTTAGTAGTAAGTATTTCTTACTCCATCTATTTATGAAAATTGGACAAATATTTAATGCCTTCATCATCCTAGAAAAAGAGAAAAGTTGAGTAGTTTTCTGTGTTGCAACTGTCTTTTGTAACAGCTTTGACAAAATCTGTGTGTGAGTAATTTCTTGACCATGAAAGTACACTAGAAAAATTATATCTATTTATTTCATAATTACAACCAAAATTAACCAATCGGTTCTTTAGCTCAAGTCGAACTTGTCCTTTGAGTTCCATGAAAATCTGTTGTTACTTAATTACATGCCACCTCGCTGACGGACAGACAAACACTAAGCGTTGAGGCTCGATCGAGCATCTGTTCAACAGAGAGCGGCTGAGGCCTCAGGTGTCTCGTTAGAGTCTGCCAGTTTTTTGAGAAGCAGTTTGACTGGTGTTAATGTAAGTGAGCAGTGAGGTGCTAAATGCTGAGTGGAAGTCACACACACAACAGGGAGCGAGTGGAGCTTCAGAGGAGGAGCCGTCAGATTGGCTGTGAAATGTAAAACACTTTCTCTGAGACAGAAGGATTTCATACATATATATAGATATCATGTATCATGTGTATTCATTCACAATTTTCCACTTTCATTATAAAATTCACATTGTTGCTGTTTGCTAACAATGACAAGGATGGTTATTTAAAAGGTTATTTGAAAGGTTCAGGTTGATACAATATAATAAATATGATTCTGTCCACGAATGCGATCCAAACATTTCTCGCCAGAGTAACCGTGTTTTTGTAAGCGGAGGAGAAAGTAGGCCAATCATCCGATAACTGTAAGCACTTACTGGGAAGCAGGTTTATTTAAAGGCTTGTTAAGGCCTCTGCACCTCTTGTTAGTCGGAGGAGGAGTAATTGGGGGGGTTTAGAAGGAGTGTGCTGGCCACACAGTCAGGGGCCTGGTGACTGTGATGATCTAACATTTGCCATTATGTGGTTGTTTTTTTGCTCAAAGGCCAGAATAAAACCTGAAAAAATCCTATTTCTACCCTTGAGGTTCTTTCTTCAATTCATCTGCGTGGTTACATATTCTGACAAAGAGATAAATTAGAAAGATATTTCAAATATGCTGATATCCGTTGGAGTTGTGGTGCATTTTCATGTTTTCTTATTGATACATTTTCCCTTTATTTCTGTATCTGTTTTAGTTTTATCCTACTACTTTAATGTGTGTGTGTTACAGGAGGTTAACTGTGTAACAGGGACTTGCTCTCCACGAGTGGTCGACAGATATGGGTTTTTCATTGGTTGATGCAGATATTTAGAGATCAGGGCGGTTTTTATATAAAGCTAACATAAAAACAAAGAATAATCATGCATTATTCTGTTCTACTCGTGTATGTTTACAGCAGGATGTATGAGAGTTATAATAAAGGGCTCGAAACCAGCTTTACCAAAACTCACAAGGGGAGCGCAGCAGCCACATCGACAAGGCAGTTTAAGAGGCAGATATTTCCCTCAGGAGGTGGTGGAAACCAGACCAGAGCTAAAAGGAGAGTAAATATCAGACTGCAAATGAATGATAAGTAATGAATAATAAACTGATGTTTGGCATATCAACATAAAAGATGATAATATGCCAGTGTTGTTGTTTACAGCTTCTTTCTGCTGTTCACAAGTGGACAAAAACATCACGTGTAGCAGGATTAACACACGGCTACATGATGGCTATTGGTTGAGTGCGGTCAGAAGTGTCACACCTGTTAAAACGTTGGACAGTGATGTCACAGTATCCTGGAGTACACTTGTACATCACTGCAGTTAAACCACTGAAAAAAGACACGATTTACATGGGCTGTTAAGTTACTCGTTAAAGGAACTCCACTGATTGAACACACTAAAGCCAGTTATTGAGAGCACGACTGCATGTGCGAAGTTGTAATCAAAGTCTGATAAATTGCCTCAAGAGACGTCACTAAAGGCAACATCGGTTGGGACTGAAAACTACAAGTTTGAAAATGAAAACAATCTGTGGGTGTAGAGAAAGAAGGAGTAGCCCGCTCCTTATCTCTGCTTGATGCTTGTGGCTCGATGCTACATTAGCCGCTGCTACGACACACCCAAATCTCAGATTGAACTGTCAGCAGTCGAGTTGCATTGTGGGTAAATGTAGGCTGCCTGGTTTTGACAAGGAAGAACACTGTGTGCAGAAAAAAGATGATTTTAATTTTAATCTTTTTAAACTGTCCATCGTCCGATATCGGTCTCATCAGCGTTGTTTTGTGTTCTGTTCTGCACAGGTTCAGGGAGGTCATGCAGGCCAATGAGCCCGAGGTGCAGGAGGTGCCCGGCCTGTTTCGCTCCATCCTCCTGGAGGCTCTGGATCACCTGAAGGAGGAGCAGGAAGCTCAGCGGCTCGCCCGCCAGTGGAACAACAAACGTGCCATGAGCATGTCCCTCATAAACTTCAGGTCCCGCATCAAGATCAACCCGTTCGGAAGCACGGTGGGCCTGACCTCCGCTGTGGCCGAGGGGGCGGGGATGAGCGACCTCAAAACCGTGTCAGAAGATGTGGAGAGAGGGATGGAGGGGGGGGACAGAGCGCAGAGGGTGTGGAGCATGCCTGATTTCAGATACAAAGGAGCCAACAGCAGTAAGGTGGTCTGATGTGGGGCGTTCATGGGACAGTGATGGTGGGACGTTTAAGTGGGACAGATGCTGATCTCCAGGACTCTGTACTGCAGTATGTCCACTTTGCACCGGGCGAGGAAGGATGAATCCCATAATCCTCCTACTTTCTCCAGTATGACACCAATCAGCATTTGAGCCATTTTACTGCATTGTCTTCACACCTGAAAGGGCAATGTCAGGTGTTTGTTTTTGTGACAGTTTCTACTTTGCGTGAGATTTTCCCCTCTTGCTGTGAAGCATCTTATCAGTAGACATTGGCATCTAAGCTGTGATGGCTATTAACTGTAGCCTGGTAAGGATATTTATGTAATTTAAAGTAGCGATGTCCCGATCCAGTCTCAAAGATCAGTATCGAGGCGATGAAGGCATATTTTTTAACCGATCGGTATATTGAGCCTGAGTGCAGCCGTCGTCAACTCTCCGCTGTCTCTTCTCCAGTCCGGTAGACTCACAGGTCAGTCTGTCAGTGAATAGAGACTGAGGACTTTGCAGAACCAATCAAAAGTCTTTAGGGCTGTCACATGGTGGTGACATTGTTCTGTGCTTGTAAACACTACTGTACCATAAAACGTTGCTAGGGAGATCCATTTTTAAAGTTTTGGAATCTCAAGTTCCTGTCACGATGGTGTAAAATGTCTTTAAAGGGTCGTATGTTTGTCAGCAGCTGTTCAGACAACTACTTTGCCTTTAGAAATCCCCAAATGACTGACAGCATAACATAGTATGAGATGTATATGTTTGTTTGTTATTCACATAATTTATGCACTCATTTTATCTGAGGTCAGTGTGAGTCTCGTACTTTTTGCTCAGCTCATGCTTAGAGAACAACCGCATTCACACCATGAGCAAAACGCCACTAAGAGTAATTCATTAATGTAATCAGTGCAAAAGATGGAGATGCCAAAACACTCAACAGAATACAGCTCATTGTTTAACTGAAGCCAAAGATGCTCTAAAGTAACAGAAAGTAAGAGAGAGTGAGCGACAAGGCCAAAAAGATTAAAGAGAGGTGACTGTTATTTTATATTATCAAGCTTATATGCTTACGTTGGATTGATTTTAATAACGTACTTTAAGTGTGCACTGTGCATCCGTATTATTATGAAAATAGAAGTATCGAAACAGGACTCGTATCGGCTGATATTCAATATTAAACTGACTGAGATCGAGATCGGGACATCCCTAATTTAAAGGCTTTCTTAACCCGTAAGTGTTGCAGGACTGAATGAAATATATTGGTATGCAACACAAACCGACTACAGAGGTGAATGAGCTTTAAAGACAGAATGTTTTGTATGAGATTTATGTAGAAATATTAATAAGTATGTCAAATTCCTGGTTAACAGTCGATGTTCACATAAACGTCATTGGGAGGGTGAGTCATCCTCTCTACAGACCGCTCTTTGTTTTCCACCAACAGCACACTCAGGACTCATCATCATTATTCATCACGCGAGGTCAGCTTTTCTTTTGTTCTTCAGTGGCAGGAAACCATCCAATAAAATAAATAAAATAAACACGCATAGAAATGTTATCAGACCTTGTAGAGTGAAATATTTCAAATTAAAATCTTTCCAGCAGTTTATTGCCGTTTCTTTCTGTTTTTCCACACAGCAAAATTCAACAGTACACAACAGGTTTACTCCATCGTCCATATAAAGCTTTCAACTGGATTGATACAGGGGGACTAACAGTGATTGTATTTTATCTCAATTTAATAAAAGAGCTAAAACATGACAGAATTTGGGGAAATTACAGTTATCATCAAACAACGCATTCGATCTCATTTCATTTTAAACAATATGTACACAAAGATCAGTACACACTGATAACACTGTGGTTCCCATAGCCAACATTTACTGTAGAAACATGACGGTCAGTTGTCTAAAAAAATAAAATAAACGTATGGGCAGTCCTGAATGTGGTAAAGGAGACGTGAATGATTGACACAGCCAGCAGGTAAACAGGAACTCCACCAATGTTACACATGGAAGTCTTTTTACAGGTGTGAGGGGGAGTACTACTGCATATGTGAAAGGAAGTTATACAAAGGCCTTTGTGGCTCCAGAGGGAGACGCTGCGTCAGTTTGGGCTGAGGACTAAAATGAAACAAAAAATAATAATTCAGTGGCTCTCTGTAGCCCGCTCCTCATCTCTGCTTGAGGCTACATTAGCAGCTATTTGCATAACACGCCTGAATCTCCGGTCGAACTGACGGAGGCTCAGTTGCATTGTGGGTAATGTAGCCGCCTGTGTGTGGAATATATATATTTAAAAAAAAGAAGAAAAAAAAAGACTTGTTCGGCTGCATCGATTTTGATTAAATCGGGGGAGTGATCTGTCAAAGCGGGGAAAACACGTTCAAACCACAAGCAGTGAAGCTCAGACTGATGCTGTTTAATTACAAATGACACCTTTATCTGATGGCCACGGATAAAACGATGGATAACACTGCTCATATAACAAAAGCTATCAGACTTAGCTGAAAGAATCCGCCACCTGGGCAGTACCATGGTGAACATATAGCTAGTGGTCTGAACGCATCTCACTGCACTGCACGAGATGCAGCTCCTTCGCTCTCTCGGGCTCGGCACTGTCCCCCCGTGTGTCGGTGTAAGTCGCGTTCATCGTCTCCGTCTCAGAACGCCATTCGTTTTTTTTTTGTTCTCCTGGAAAGCAGAGTTGTTGTTTCCTGAGTTCTGCTGACGTGTCCGAGCCCGAGCACCACTACTGGCACCCACAGTGGCATCACAGGGTAGAGTTCAAGAACTCGAGAAGTTCTGCTCGATTTTTATCTCGCTGTAAAAAGAAAGAAAGGAAAAAAGGCACGTGCAAGCAAAGGCAAATAGTCCATCCACAGATTATAGAAGAAGGTACACCTGGTGGCTTATTTGAAAGCAAAAACTTAAGATTACCTGTTTGTCTTTCTTTGACTTCTTTACTTTCATCTTTATCTTCTTCCCTGAAATCATGCTGTACTTGCCTTTTTTCCGGTCTTTCAAGTACTGAAAGAAAAACAAAATGTAAGTTTATGGAGGTTAGAATGCAAAAAAACCAAATAAAATAAAGTTGAGTGACAAAATTTCATAATTAGCCTGTTCTTACGAGTATAATATGCAAGGAATAATATAGAAATGAAAAGTTGCCACACAAGAAACTATTAAATGTAGTATCATTCTAGCACATGTTTGTTTGTTTGTACAAGAGCTGCCAAAAATGTGCTAAAATCATCAACATCAGCGATCAATGACTAGAATACATTTACATATGCACTTTTAGTCACACAGGTAAGAGAAGAATTATTGTCTAACGGGACCTTAAAGGGCAGTTACCTTGGAGATCTGTACAGGTCCCGAATTATCTTCTCCTCCTTTTGCTTTCTTGTCTTTTTTACGTTTGTGTCGCTTCTCTTTCTTCCCTTTCTGCAAAAGTAAGTCGGACTTGAGTTTTCAGTGACTTTTTATTTGATTGACACACGGTACACAACGAACAAGACGTTACTTTTTTGTGTTGTTTCTCCTTTTTCCTTTTCTTAGACTGCTTTCTGGATTTACTGCGCGAGTCTAAAAAGAAACAAAAACAACACATTGAATGAATTTACGGATACTGGAACTGTTACGGTGATAAAAAATAGACTTATTTATAAAATACTCATCTGATCAATCATCTGAAATGAACACAAATCAGAACTAAAGACTTCAACAATACACTTACCGCTACTGCTAGAGCTACTCCGACTGCGGCTGGAAGAGTGCGATGAACCCGATGAAGAAGAGGACGACGAGGACGACGAAGACGAGGACGACGAGGAAGACGAACTGGAAGAGGACGACGAGGAAGATCTACTACGGCTGCGTTTCCGCTTTCTTTTTTCACGTCCTGTAAAAACAGAAGACAGAAACACGAAGACGAAGCTTCTTCAAACGCACAGAAGGTGAAAACTTTAATTAATTATCTATTTTATTGATACGCAGCAACTCAACTATTGAGGAATTCTACTTTAAACACAACTGATACTGAAAATATCAAAATCACTGTAAACCGGATGCACTGATGATATTAGAGAGTTCTTCAGGACGTCATTGGTTTTAACACAAGTAAAAACTATTTTCTTGATTCCGCTATTTAAATAAATAAAATACAGTGATATTTAGAAAAAAAAAGAATAAAAAATGTAATTAGAAAATGCAGAAATAAAGTTTGTAGTGAAATATTTCTCACAGGAAACTGCAAAGGTCTTTTTTAAAACTGTGATGTTGACTCTGGAGCTTAAACGTTATCTAGTTTAGTAGTTTAGTGTCTGATAGCTATAGATGATGATTTAGTTTATTTGATTTGGTCAATACGATACGAATGACGCTGCAAAAACACCAGGTGGTCAGCAAAGGTAAATGTTTTCACTATATGCTCTATACAACACTCAAACCTGCACTGTGGCCTCACATTATACGATACTTGTGACAAAGAAAAGGCCTCGTGTCAAATCTATCAGCATTCAACGTTTGAATGCAGTTTACATGTCAGCGATGATCTTTCCCACTAAGACAGTAACGTTAGTGAAAAGGAGAGAAACAGTAACAGTGGATGTGTCTGTGAGCAGTCTGACCTCGGCTGCTGGATCTCCTCCTCTCATCTGTTCTGGAGCCGGAGCTGGAAACTCTGGAGACTCTGGACTCCGCCTTCGTGGACTGTGAAGAGAAAGAGGAACAAATGAATGTGTGTGTGTGTGAGAGTGTGTGAGTGTGTGAGTGTGAGAGTGTGTGAGAGTGTGTGTGTGTGTGTGTGAGTGTGTGAGAGTGTGAGAGTGTGTGTGTGTG